CCGCCGGACGACGTTCGCTAAATAAGAGCCTGGAAGCGGAAGTCGCTGTGGGTGCTCCAGACAAGTATAGAAGCGGTGACGAAGGCCTTTCGAGAAGGACCGCGTCGGGATCAGTCAGTGCAGTCCAGATAATGGGAGAAGTAGAGTCTAGTCAAATCCATTCCAGTCGAGTCGGAATTATTTTGAGCATAATTGCTGTGGAATCAGTCATGTAAACTGGAGTTATTGAGAAATAAATTATTGAGTTTTACCCACGCCGTTTTTAATTACCAATCCACGTAACAATATAATCAAAATGTTTAGGGAATTAGCGAATCTCATGCCTTAGGTTGGCAATTATTTAAACGAAAATGAATCGCATTCGACGCCACGGTCCCCATCCAATGTAATTAATAATAACACAGGCCTGCGATGGTTTTCCCCCAACAAAATCAAGTAGTAATTTTGGTAGGTCTTAGACACTCATGTATAAAAAAAAATTGCAAAAATTTCTATCACGTACAGTTTCTGCAAAAAATATTTTTTTCAGTTTTGTTCTTAGTACTATAAAAATTAACTTCTAGATTTTGTGGTAATAATATGTATTGATAATGGTGTTGATATTTCATTTCGTGTTCAGCTTAGTAAGAGTTATTTGTGTCGACTATGCGCTTATTACCCTGAATTTAAACAAAAATTACTAATGTCTTCTCGGAAATGGGTTAATTCTTCAGATAAGTTTGCTGACACCAATGATTTGGATGGAGCCACAAAATCATACAGACGATTGTTACTTTTGCTGTTCAAATATAAAATGATATAATGCGAAAAATGTAACAGCAATAACATATCCTATCGTGAATACAAGAGAAAACGCTTAAATCAGAGCTTTGAAGAAAGAAAAAAAGAAGCTTCTTGATTTATTTGTTTTTTTAAGTCTTGTTTATAACTTATTTAGTTCATTTAATAAATAAACATTCAATTTTATATTCTTTATATTTTATTTTTTCATAAAAATTGTTTGAAAACCTATGAATATTTAGGCCTACATAAAAATAAATCTCGATGTGCTACAAAAAAACTAGAGTTATATTTTAATTCGGCATACATAAATACCTAAAAAAAAAACAATATTACTTAAAAGGGAATTTAAAAGTTATATTTCGCAGGCCTGTGTAATTAATGATTTTCTAATCTTAAATGTGTAAAACTTTGAAGAATTCGTTCACACGAGTTATTTTTTTTTTATTTGTAAATTCACAGTTCACGTTAAGATTTTTAAACTAAAGATGCCGCTGTCGCAAATTTTAACAGTTTTTCAATTTTTGAGGAAACCTTGACTCTAAAAAACACCGAAAGACGAAAAAAGACTGAAAAAAAAATAATAAAAAAAACGGTTTTTTACATTTCTACATTGTTCTAAGAGATTCTAATTGCAAACATGTATATGTTCATATAAAAACACGTGGCAGGAAATTCACTTACTCAGGTTTCATTCTTTTTTATCACCATGTCTTAAAGTTCTAGATGTTTTTATTTAAGTTAAGAGATTTCATAACTTTTCACTCTAGGTTGGAAATAGTTCATTTATTTTGAGAGAAAGGACCTTGAAAATTATCATCTGTTAAATTAATATTCCTGTGAAATAAAAAAAAAACAGGAGGTCTTCAATATTTTCTTACAGATTTACTAATTTCTTACGGTTTGAAATAGAACATTTGACCTCGAAGTACACCGAGTCTTTTCCGAGACCACTTTATTTTGATTATGATCATATTTCATATGTGCTTTTTACTTCCCGAGCGTAAGCAAAGGAAGTATTGTAATCGAGTCCGTCGGCCGACTCTCTACTTTTACGTTTTCTCGATCTTTCATGACCCCTAGAAGACGAAGAAATAGGTCTCCCATTTCCGTCTGTCTGTCCGTCTGTCCGTCCGTCTGTCTGTCCGTCTGCCGTCCCGGATTTTTATTAGACAGATAATCTCCGAAAGTACTCGACCGATTGTTGTGAAATTTTGTACTTATATTAAGAATATCATGTAGATGGTAAAACGCTAACCAAAATTTGTCTAATCATCCCCACCACTAATGCGATGACGTCACTTCAAAATTGTACATAGTAAATGGGTTTTCAATTGTATAAAATAACATAGTCCTACACATGTAGTTTACAACTCTGAATCGACTTTTCACCCGAAACGCCCAGATTTTTGGAAAAAAATTCAAAATTATAAAACAACATTTTGAAATTTAATTTTTAATCTGCTAACCAGAATGCTTTGAAATGTTGCAGATGTTTTAAGGCTATAAAGAGCATCATAAATCTTTAGTCAAAAAATATTTGCTTATCCCCTCCAAAAACTTGATGACGTCAGCTCAAAAGTTTGTGGAATAAATCATATCTAAAATGTACAAAATATGATGAGTCTGTACTTGTGATCTACATTCATATATTTTGGATTTGCATATACAGGGTGGCTCAAAAAAATTAATGAATGCGTAAATATATTTTATTGATTTAATCAGGAACTACAAAACCGAATGCTCTGAAATCTTGCAGATGTTTTAAGGTCATAAAGAGCATAATAAATGTTTAGTCAAAATATATTTGCTTATCCCCTCTAAAAACTTGATGACGTCAGCTCGAAAGTTTGCCGAATAAATCATATCTAAAATGTACAAAATATGACGAGCCTGTACTTGTCATTTATCACTCCATTCATATTTTTTGGATTTGCATATACAGAGTGACTCAAAAAAATTAATGAATGCGTAAATATATTTTATTGATTTAATCAGGAACTACAAAACGGAATGCTCTGACATCTTGCACATGTTTTAAGGTTATAAAGAGCATAATAAATGTTTAGTCAAAATATATTTGCTTATCCCCTCCAAAAACTTGATGACGTCAGCTCGAAAATTTGCCGAATAAATCATATCTAAAATGTACAAAATATGATCAGTCTGTACTTGTGATCTATCACTCCATTCATACTTTTTGGATTTGCATATACAGGGTGATTCAAGAAAATAAATGAAAGCGTAAATTTATTTTACTGATTTACTCAGGAACTACAAAACCGAATGCTTCGAAATCTTGAAGATATTTTAAAATTATCATAAGCATGGTAAATTTTTGATCAAAACGTATTTGGTCGTCCCCCCTAAAAAATTTATGACGTCACCACAAAATTTTGCTGAATAAATCCTATCTAAAATGTACAAAATATGGTGAGTCTCTTCTTGTGATTTATCATTCCATTCAAATTTTTTCGATTTGCATATACAGGGTGACTCAAAAAAATTAATGAATGCGTAAATTTATTTTATTGATTTAATCAGGAACTACAAAACCGAATGCTTTGAAATCTTGCAGATGTTTTAAGGTTATAAAGAGCATAATAAATTTTTAGTCAAAATATATTTGGTTATCTTCTACAAAAAACTGATGACGTCAGCTCAAAAGTTTGCCGAATAAATCGTATCTAAAATGTACAAAATATGATGAGTCTGTACTTGTGATTTATCATTCCATTCATATTTTTGGATTTGTATATGCAGGGTGACTCAAAAAAATTAATGAAGGCGTGAATTTATTTTATCGATTTAATCAGGAATTACAAAACCGAATGCTTTGAAATCTTGGGAATATTTTAAAGTTATTATAAGCATGGTAAACTTTTGTTCAAAATGTATTTGTTCATCCCTCCTAAAAAAATTGATGACGTCACCCTTAAATTTTGCTGAATAAATCCTATCTAAAATGCAAAAAATATGATGAGTTTGTACTTGTGATTTATCATTCCATTCATATTTTTTAGATTTTCTTAAGAGGTGGTTCAAAAAAATTAATGAAGTCAATTTATTTTATTGATTAAATTAAAGGCAACACTTATTATTAGTATTACACCCCAACCAACCCAATTTGGTAGACACAAAATTTGTTAAAGGAAAAACTCGTTTGAAACATAAGGGTAGCACGCTTATTTACATCGACTTTAACATTACAGACCTGCATTTGTTTTATGCGTTCACTTGGTTCCGCAAATGTGAAATAGACATGTTTATAATCAACCAATTGTGAATTTCACCGTCAAGAATTAAAATAAAACCCAATATTTTATATAATAAGCGGAAGTTGAAGCAATAAAACCGATGGTCGTTTTGTTTACAGTTTCTCTGTTTGAGTCTCACGTATGCTGTTACGCCTGTCATCTTAAATTAAGAATGTTTATACATACACGATTTTCAGTTGCCTCTGATACGTATACGTGAGTAAATTGTTTCGTTATTTTATTGATTATTACAAATCAATATTCAAAACGACCCAATTCATTTTCCCGAAAATTTGAGAATATAATAATTTTATTCTTAGTATTACACTACATCTATCCCAACTGATATACGTGCCCTTGCAAAAATGTTGATGACGTCATCGCAATTTTTTTTTAAATTCCCACTACAAAAATGTAATGAGAAAAAAACACAATAGACATGCAGTCGTCAAGTTTCCGACAGCGAGGGAAGTACTGTCTAAACTCTTTAGACCAATTTTTTGTATGTGGCATAGGGTTTCCTCAAGTTAATCCTTGAATTGATTTTGATTTAATCAATAGCTTGAATTAACCACACGTAAATTCTTTGTAATTTGAAATTGTCAACAGTGTGGCATATTTTAATTTTGCTTGCTTCTTTATTTGTAATTATAATTTTGATTTGTTATCCTGAAAACTCGGGAGATTTTAAACCTAACCGAAATAAACGTTTGGAGGGGGGGATGAAGAGAACAGAAGCTCAAATTGAGGGCTTCTCTTTCCGTTTCACGTGAATGTGTATCTGCAATGATTCTAGACAGCCAATGATTCTAGAAAGCTCAATTTTGTTGACGATCACAGTTCAAACCGAAATTTTAAATTTTTCGTGGATTTTTGTATTTAAAAAACTAAAAAATGATGTGATGTTCTGTAATATTTAAAAATACCGAACCTCTATTTTTTTAAACTGGTATATTTAAAAAAAAATCGCCTGGAGTAATTTCAAGTTTAAAAAAGTTGTCTTCTTCATTATTCATTTTTACCACATCTTCAGAATATCTTTTTAATAGCATTTTTCATCTCACTTCCAACACTTTTCGAATTAACAACACCGACAAAACGACCACACTCCAAATTTATTAGAATGCCTAAAACATCAAAATCTGCCACATTTTAGTTATTTTCGCCTTCGGGCTCTGCGGGCGGCGCTTCGGCCTCAGCGGGGGCCGGTTCGGGCTCAGGGGGAGCTGGTTCGGGTTCCGGTTCAGGGGGAGGGGGCTCCTCTGGTGGAGGTTCTTCGGCCGGTGATGCACCCCCGGATCGTCCAGCCGATGCACCGCCACCACCAGCGTCGCCGCCTCCCGCACCACCACCGCCACCACCTTCGTCACCCTTAAAAAAAAAGTAGCCGAGGAGGAGCGTAACGACTGCGACAACTAAAAGGCTTCTCTGTAGAAATGTCCATCTGACGTCTGTTTTGGGTTTTACCTGCCATTAGTGCCAGACATGGTACCGTACTTTCCTCCGCCTGCCCCTGTCCCTGGCCTTCTGCGCCTTTTTTGTCTTTGTCTCGTTTGCAGGAGATGTAGTATTTCTTCATGGTGGGATGTGGCTGGGTCTAAAAAAGTTACGAGAAAATTTTAATAAAGTTTGTGTCATGAGGAGACATGACGCAAGCAGTTGTTTACAAGTGACGGTTGTGTCTTGATTTTTTGGGTTTTGGGGGTGTGGAGTTTTGCTTGCAGTTCTAGCGCGTTAGATGATATTGATGTTAATGTTGTGTTATGACTAGAGAGTGGATTTCTAGGTTTAATGCTTTTTGTGAAAAATGTAAGCACTTCAAAACTTTTTTATATCTGTAACTATGATACAATTTGGAGTCATTTGACACATTTTTTTTATGCTTATTTGCTTTTTTTTCAATTTGATGCATATTAAAACTTATATGCTTATTTAATGCTTTTTTCGACGAATATGAGTTTTAATGCATATTTTGTTCAAATGCCGGCCTTGTCGGGATGACAAATACTTGTTAGTTAGTCGTATCGTATCGTATGCATTTTACCTGGACTTGACCATTAAAGTACACTTACTCAAGACCCTTTCTGTGAATAGGTTTCGGTCGTTTGGGTAATAAAATTTTATTATAGGATTGGAAAAATACTCCATTGATTTTATAACTTTGAATCCTTACTTCCGTTGATAATGAATTAAAGCTTTTAACCAGATGTTCTTTTTCGGCATTTTGAGGCAAGACCGTTGAAGATTTTCTAGAAAAAAGGATTATTGTACCCAACTACCTACCTTAAAATTTTTCTAATGGAAACTTTTAAGTAAATGAACCGTTTATTTCACAACCATCAGTCTATCGCATCTGTCGTAGTACAGTGTTATACGTGGTTCTCCCTTGTTACATGTTGAGTTCTTTTTGGTAATATTACTAATATTTTAAAAGAATACCGAAAGTAAAATCGACGCCGGATGAGTGGATAAGGGATTAAAATTAGAAAACAACAAAATATTCTGCAGAGCTTGTGTGAAAACCGTAAGCCCACTAATTTTTTTTTATCTATTTTCCTGTGTTAATCCTGTATATGTACGTTGTTTTAGATTCAAAGTGATAAAAAATATAACGTGACGCAACATGTCAGAACGACTCTTCATATAGAAAGGAAGAAAATGTTTGAAGTTTCTAAAATTAAACAGCAGACCATACATGAATCTGTTGCATCTACTTCCACAAAAGATGAGCAGTTTCAGTTTAATTTCGATTTATGTAAAATGATGATCCAGTCCAGTATACTTTTAAAAAATTTGGAGAAAGGCCCTCTTCAAGAATTCCTTGAAAAACACTGCAATCGACATATTCCGGTTGAAAGTACTCTCCGAAAAAATTATCTAGACCCAGTGTTTCAGCAAATTTACAACGAAATTAAACATCGCATTGGAGATAATTATTTATGGTTCGCTGTCGATGAAACAACCGATAGTTGTGGAAGATACGTGACAAGTTTAATTGTTGGAATCTTAAATGAAAATTTCCCTAGTCGAGGGTATGTAGTAAGTTTGAAAATGTTAGATAAAACAAATGGCAATACGATTAGGTACCAGATTTGTAAATGACAGTCTTACATCACTATTTTGCCAAATGCCGTACCGGCGAATAAAATTTTATTGATGATCTCGGATGCAGCTCGTTATATGTTGAAAGCAGGGAATAATCTAAAAATATTGTACCCCAATTTAATTCACTCTACTTGCACTGCCCACGGTTTAAACAGAGTGGCTGAAGGAATACGTTTGCAGTTTCCTACTGTTAATAAATTAGTGGCAAATGGTAAAAAGATTTTTGTTAAAGCCCCACTAAGAGTGCAACATTTTAAGGAAAAATTTCCAAACATACCATTGCCCCCAGAGCCGATTATAACGAGGTGGGGAACATGGTTACAGGCCACATTTTATTATGACAAATATATCAAAGAATTTGAGGAAGTAGTTACGGAGTTTAGCGAAGATTCTTTTCAATCGATTAAAGATTGCATAAATATTTTGGAAAACAAAGAATAGCGACAAGATCTAGCTTTTCTAAGAAGCAATTATGAATTCGTATGTGAGGTAATAGAAAAGTTAGAAAAACCCAACATGTTGTTGGTAGATACCATAAACTTAGTGAAAGAATTTAAACAACAAGCAAACGCAGTAAGGGGTGATATTGGTACTAGAGTATCTCAAAAACTTGACGAAGTGTTAAATAAAAATGCAGGTTTCGGTGTTCTTTCCGACGTTGCTCGTGTTTTACAAGGCCAGAAGGTGGAAAATTTGGAGTTAGATTCAACATTAATTGCAAAATTCAAATTTGCGCCAACAACGAGTGTGGATGTTGAACGCACATTCTCCAATTTTAAACACATTTTAAATGATTGGCGAAAAAATTTTACAGTGGACAACTTGGAACATAATTCAATCATAAATTGTTTTAAAGAAAACTGAAATACGTGTGTAAAATATAAAGTCTAGGATTATTGTAATAATATTTTATCCAAAGTTCTAAGAAGTGTTCTTTGATTTGTACTATGATTATGTTTTTAATGCTTTTTTGCTGAAAATAAAACTTTTTTAATGAAAGTGTTATGCTTATTTAATGCTTTTTTGCTTAAAATAAAACTTTTTTATTGAAAATGTGCTTATATAAGCGCTTATTCTTAATTTTGTTGTGCTTATAAATCCGCTCTCTAGTTATGACCATTTGCTATTTACGTTACAGTTACAAGTTACAAATCAGATGAAAATATATAAAGGTTAAAATATTAGTTGGTGTGGATTATTAATTACACTGAGGACCAATATGTCAATTCTGATACGTATTATCCGTTCACGATCTTTATAGAGTAGTGTTGGTCATGAAAATCTAGTGAGTTTGTTGGTATTCGATGCAGAAGAATAAAAATTCCCTGAACATTTTTGGTTAGGTTATGTTTTATTAAATTAAAGGTTAAAAAATAGGCCAGAAATATAAACATTGTTGCCGATGCTTTTAGTTTTCAGTAGCAATGACCAAATTAACGGGATCCATTTCTTAGAAAACATAAAACTTTACGCTATTTAAAACAGTTATTCGAATTTTTGTAAGTGTTTATTTCATATGTAAGGAACAAACACTAAAGTTTCACTTAAACATTGTTTTTATATGAATGTTCGTTCTGCTCGCCCACTCTTCTTAGAAATGGAAATTTCGACCTTTGTGAACAGCCTATTTCTATATCTTCCAACTACTTTTTTCACTTTTCTAAGATTACCAAAAGGGTTAGTAAAAGACAACAACCTTGCTCTAGTGCTTTGATAGGTTTAGCTCTTCTGAAACATTTTTCCGGCCTTAAACTGAATGATTTATCTATGTGGCTATTACTAATGTTTACGTAAGTGCTCTTTATTTGCTTTTACTAAGTACTTCCAAACGCTTAATAGGAACGTTACTATACACCTTTTCCAGGTCCACGAAGAGTTACAAAAAAAATGGAAATGCTTAAAATTTGGTGCAAAGTAACAACGTGGATGACCTAACTAAAATTATACTTATTTTGTTGTACGTCAGGTAGTTTTTCACATACTACCTTGGTAAATTTAAAACGAAAGATGCGTAAAAATATCACCCCCCGACAAACTACAATTCACTCCATTTCCATTATTTCGCTATAAAAATCTGTATCATCACCGTCATTTTCAAATTCAGATTCTGAATCAGATTCACCTAGCGAAATAATGAAAGGAGGTATAGATTCGTACGAAAAATTTCCCATATTTTTTCCCAATCTGCCAAAATATGTTTTTCACAATGTTTACAAAAATGTTGCCACATGCTTGGAGTACATTTAGAAAGCGCCTCAAACCACAAATTCTCCACCCTATTTTTTTATTGAAGGTTGAGAATTTATATGCTTGTTGTAATAGTTCTTACAAAATCCCCACGCCATTTCAATTGGATTATATTGACAATGGTAAGGAGGTAATCTAAGAACTTGATGGCCACTTTCTCTTAATGTTTCGTCTACCAAATGTCTTTTTTTTTCTATTGTTTCTGAAGGGTTTAATTAAATCCGACAACTGTTTCTTCGAAAATTTTTTGTCAAATTCAACACTATGTTTAAAGAGCCATTCCTGCATTTCACATTTTTTACTAGAAAAAGTGGGTGATTTATCCAACTGAACCGAATGATACGGTGCATTGTCTAAAACCACCACACATTTTTGGTTCAACTTTGCCAAAGCAGGAATGAGCTGATTACCCACCCAATTTTGAAAAATTGTCCCGTCCATCGTTTTATGATAGTATCTTTCGTTATTTTTTTAATTTAAAAAATTATTACAACCATCCAAGAACTCCGTTGAACAAACCGAGTGAAGAATAGTAAACCTTGATCTTTCACTTTTAATTTAGGTGGGATTGCTTTTTAGATCAGTATCGTGCACCCAGCGACGAATGGACGAACCATTTTGATAGATCCATGTTTCATCCAAATACACGAAAGTCAAATTTTCACAAAAATTTAGAAACTGTAAATATGTTCTCAAAAAAGTAATTTTGGCTGCAACGACATGTTTTTGTTCACATAGAATTTTGCGAACACTTACTTTCCTGTGTTTATAACCCATTGACTTAAGAATTTTGTATAATGTGGTTCGCCCCCCTTTAAATTTAAACTGTTCCCTAGAATGTGCCAAAAGAGTATCTACAGTGTAATATTCGTTTTTTTCATTAAGTTGCCAAATTTGTCGTTGCAGGTATTTCCGGAACATATAATTTGTAAATAAATTCGTTGGTTTTCGCTTTCCAGATAGTGATGTTTTTAAATTTTGGTCCGTTGTTGATAAAATTTTCGCCACAGTTGATGTTCCACCTATGAGAAAAAAAATTAAAAAATATTTTACAGCGTATTTTCACATTACAGAAAATATGTTCGAGACCCTCATAGTTACTTCTTCGAAAGAAAGATCGGGCTTGTCTTTTCGAAACTGCAAAAAAACTATTTTAAGCATTTTCTTTTTAAATAATGTCGCAATGATCTGTGAATCTGTCACAATGACAAATTATCTATGCTGACAAAATTAAAACATTTGTTTGTTTGATTACAAAATTGCGTCTAATAATTCTGATCTAATAAACGAAGTGGAAAAGTGGCAATCCAGCTCAAAGCAAATGTCAATCAGACTACTTACAGACAAAAAACTAAATCATCAAATCAGTTTATCCAACTTAAAGAAAAAATGTCAAAGTCTACTTTATTATATAAAGAGCGTGAATGGATAATAATATTCAGATTTTCGAAAAATTAAACAAAAATTTTTAAATTTTAAAATGTATGAATAAATCATAAACCATATACTATCGCACGCAAATATATTGTCGGTAGCCAGCAGCGAAAGGCATTAAGCTTCTCCGCCTCCTCTTTGCGGGTTTTCATAGTCTAACAAACACTTTGGTATACACAATCAAATGGACAAGGACTAAAATTTCCTGGTTGTAAAGCTTTAAATTCGAAACTGGAACTTTATGAGATAATACACTACAGTAATCAAAAAAAAAATAACAAATTTATTACGGGTAGATTTAAGATTGGAAATAGTATTTAAAAGTAAAATATACAACTCCAACAAACCAAATCGTAGCGATAGGCGATATTTAAGTTTTCGTTGAGAAGCAAATGTTGAATGAGATGTTACAATAATATATTAATACTAAATTATAATTATATATACGCAAATCCATTTATTAAAAGAACAATAATTATGCAACTGTCAATTCAAATAGTGTCAATAAGAATAATTTTGGAGCCACAAATATATCATTTTATGACTAACAACTGCACACAAGAGAGTAGGACGCACATTTAAATAACTAATGGTGATCTCTGCGGCCGCCCCCACTGCAGCAGCAGCACATAACTAACACTGTCGCTATAACGGTTCCTACAAAAATCTTGTACTGTATATGGATATCTCACTAATTATGATAATCACCTGCTATAAGTGTCGTTATAGGAATTTCATTGTCCGTTTGAATTCGTAAAGGAGGCTGCCTGTCCAACTGTTCCTTAATATTTGCTGGCATATCGTCAATTACCAAAATTTGTATGAGACTGTCAACATGATTGCCACAAAAAATTATATAGCTTTGTTGCTAGACGACTTATTTATTGTCAGAGTTACCTAAGGTCTTCCATGTCTGATGATATGAACTGTGTGATTTAGTGGCGACGCTGCCCATTCCTAAGGTCACAACAGCAGATTATAAACAAAAAAGTGACTCCAACTGTACCTAAAATATTACTTAGTTCATTATCAAAGGTAAAACATACAAAAATAAAAAATTAGGCTTCTGTCTAATGGATTTTTTCAAAGAAAAACTAAATTACAAGTCCTGTGGTTTTCATACCTAGTAAAAGATTCAGAATTGACGTCTCTGGATCTGTAGAATATGGATCTTGCATTTCTTCCCTAAGAGATTTTGGTTTCTGCATATCATCCACAAAAATTTGCTCTTAAATAATGATGGAACCAAAACGTCAAAAACGACAGATAAGTGCTATTTATCCTTGGCAATTTTATTTTCCACATCATTGTAACAGATCTGATATTTACAATACTTTTATACATTTATACAGTATAATGATTACGTATTCAACAAGGACTAGCTGCATAGCAATAAATAAAATATTTAAATTTTCATAACATACACTTTGCATCATAAGTTATTTATTGTCATAGATTACCATTTTTAACCAGGGACTTTGGAAGGACTCCAAAGCCTTATTACCTATCCGCTCGGTTCCAAGCCAAGCTTGCAACGGAACGGTTAAGTCAACTGATCTAATCAACAACAAAGAGCAACAAATTAGCTAAATACATAAACTGCTAAGCTACACATTGACCTTAAAATCTATTATTGTCTAATCATGAAGTTTAAATTGACTATATTAAGGACAGACTCTAAATGGCTTGGATTTTCGTTCACTATTGAAGATATGTAGTGAAATGGATATGTTCTTGTGAATCGATGTTCCTCAGTATTTGGAAACAGAAAATGAGCAAGGGCGAGTCTGCCGTTCGCTGTTTAAAACAAACGAAACTAAAACAACATTTGTGCAAATATATCACATTTTTAGTTTCGAAAAAAACAATAGGTCTGATATTGAACACCTCGTTAAATTTTTCATAGGAAGTCTTTTTCAGCTATTCTTTTCTAAATTTATTGTCGCTTAGGCTGTATTGTCAAAAGTTCCAAAAATAGGTCAGACCATAAAACGTACCGTTTTGGCTATAGAAAATATCGTACCGGTCTTGTAGATTTTGTTATCAAAAAAATTCACTATAGAAAAATCATGTGTCGGCGCGGATCGGGCAAAACAGAAGTGTTTAAGGACTGCCATAAACACTTGTGTTTTAACCTTTCGTAGTTACTTGGTTCGGAACAAGGAGCACTTGACACTCTTCATGCAACTAATAAATAAACGGCTACTTTTCAAGCGCTCCTTGATCTCAAAGTTTTGAGTATACAACCATATGATATGAAACATTTTATGGATATGGATCTTTGTTCTAATGTACTAATATGGGTTACGATATTCTAATCGATATCTTCTTCGTCATCGACAATACTCGTCGGACAACATAATCCCTCTGTTCCATCAGCACGGATGCAGAACAAAAGAGTTTCAGCTGTGGAAACTTCGTGCGGCATTATTCCATGGAAATCCTTCAAGTCATTGGCTGGGAACCAGGCTTTTTCGTTGTCGTCGATTATAACAAACCCGAAGAGCCTAAAATAGAATTTCGGTTCATATCGTTGGTTAAAGTAAACAATTTTGTGGCAATAGAAATTTAATTTTAATTCTCTTTGTATCCTTTTCATTTTGGTGTCAGCAGTAGGATTACTTTAAACTACTACGAAATTGGAAAACGAAGACCAGAAATAGAGATTGATTTCTTACCTCGCTATCGCTGTCCCTGGAATCCACGCAATAGAACTGAAGACCAAAACAAAAATCAGTACCACCGACCATGTGGGCCACTGGTGTCTCTCCGTATCTCCCTTCGAAGGCACCCATGCGTCGTACCCCGTCCCATCGACAGCAATTTCCACGAAACTCGCCACCAAAATGGAAATCATGGCAAGCGGCGACAGATACTTCCAACAAATAAGCCAGTACAGTCCTGGACGTTGACCAGTCATCATTTCGATATCGTCAGCAAATCTAAAGATCATTACCGTAATATTTTTTAGGAATAATAAAGCTTTCACTATCTCTTTTACCTTTTCAATCCGTAGACGTAGGCAACCCCGATGCACTCGAACAAAGCGATAATCAGCAGCGGGAAATTTCCGCTATAGTTATCGAAAAGCACAAAAATGTAATTTCCAGATCCGTGCGAAAAGGCCATCGAGATAATGCAGCAGGTCAAACAAATCCCGCCCGTGAGGATTTCTTTGGGCAAGTTGGGGAAAAGCTTCATGTCAACAATGGAAGTGACGACTCCTTCTAACGTACCAAACTGCGAATCAATTCCTAATGTGAACAGCATTAGGAAGAAGAGAACCGACCAAAATTGGGCTCCCGGGAATTGGTTTATTGCTTCTGTAAATATGATGAAGGCAAGTCCTGTGCCAGAGGCTGACTGGAAGAGGAACAAACAATTAGAGGTGGTGAGTGTGGGTAGAGGAATATGGAAATGCAGCGTAAATATGTAGGAAGTGCTGCGGTTAGCCAGGATCGAGAATAGTTTTGAAGAGTTAATCAGATTATAACTTGAGCTAAACAACGAAAAATCAAAATCAAATCATATTATTTAAAATCAACATCTTTAGCTTTTCCGTCAACCACAAGAGGTTAGTTTACATCAAGCTACAAAACTAAATAGTAATCAAATATGTTTCGAAAAGATTGTGCAATCTGCTTTATAGGTATTACATTATTTAAAGGAAAACGATGAAAAATTGTAATAACTTTGTCAAACAGTGAATAAAACTGAAAACTGTTTTACATTTTCACATAGGATTTAACGTAATCCTGTTGCTTTAAAAAACCTGTTGATCTCTTAAGCCTTTCCTTTCAAGTGTTGTTGAAAGCAACTCGTGTAGAAGTGACCGTTCAATGCTTCTAAAATTTAGATATTATCGCTCTGCTCCATGATTTCGGTTTATATTTTGTATATAAGGTATTTATATTATAAGCATTAAGGTTTATGTAGTACTTTCCTAACATTCGGTCAGGTGAGATTTCTTTGGTGACAATTTTTATCAAAAATTAATCACAAGTTAACTCATTCATTTTCCAATTCAACTCAAACAACTTCTCTGATACTTTTTCTTCAATACTTCTGGCACTAAACTTCAAAAAAGGAACGTTTAGAATGCGAGCGCAGCGAGCACGTTAAGGTTTTATTTAAAAAAATGGTTTAAAATTATAAAATTTTCAGGAAAATGGGGTGACTCGATCTTAATTTAATCAATAAAATAGATTGTCTCCTTCATGATTTTTTTCACTCACTGTATAAGTAATAACGACTCTTTGAATCAATTAATGAACCTCAAGTATAGGGTCGTAATATTTTGTTCATTTTACAATCGTAACAATTTTAAAATGACATCACCAATTTTCTGGGAGGCGTAAACGGTAAATTTTGATTGACCATTTATCACGCTTACGATAACCTTAAAACGTTTGCAAAATTTCACAACATTCCGTTTTGTTGTTTCAAAGTTATATTGTAAAATGTTGTTGTGGTGACCGAACTTGAATTAAAATTTCGCGCTGAAAAAAATTAATAGCGGAGCGAAATCACATTTAAATAATTTGAATTTGAAAAAAATTCAATCAAGAAAATCGTTTAACATAGGCAACCATGTGCACGTTTAGTTCGTTTTCTGGTAGTTGGTAGTTCTGCTTGGAATTTTTAGTTAGAGGGTTTGTAGAAGATGGCGGCTTGGTAGGAGGATGAGAGGCTTCACTTTTTGGTGTGTTGTTGTGAGTGTAACCACGTGGTGAGTTAGCTAGGTTAAGTTTAGTTGGCTTGATAGCCATGAAGACGCCACAGTTTCCCCAACAAGCGTAGATAATTCTTGCGGTTTTTCCAAACGGAAATAAGTGAATTTTCGACGGACGCCAACACGTGTGTAAATTTGTTTTATTGTTCGTAAATTCACAGTTCATGTTAGGATTTTTAATCGTTAACTAGTTCTAACACAATTTAACAATCAGGAATTTGTTTAGGAAATTTCATGATATTCACTTAGTCAGGGCTCATCCTTTGTTTATCTAGTTATGAATAAGTTTATGGATGCTTATACTTAAGTGTTCTTCTTAATTCTTCACACAAGATTGCTAATAGTTCATTTTCGGCAATTAAAATTAACCTAACGTTATCCCACTTTGGGAAAGGAACCGTGAAAGTACTGTAGAATTCATAATATCGTGAACTGAGCTACGGGGAGATTAATTAATAAATTAATTATCTATCTAAGGCAATTATCATCATATCATCATCACGTCACCGAGATATTTTCTCGCAACGTGGAAAGCTATATTACCGAGATATATTTTCTCGCAACGTTGAAAATTACATCACCGAGGAGCTTTCCCCGCAACGCCTAATACATTTTGTGTTGTTTATTTATCATGTGTTTTATTTGGGATAAGTTGAGGACAGTCCACGATATAAACTCTCAAAGCTAATCGTTTTAAGTAACTAATCACTTGGACAAAATGTGGCATAATTTAACATAATGTAAATTATTTGTTTGAATCGTTGATAAAGTGTGACATTTAACATAATGTAAACTCTTTGTTTGAATCGTTCATAAAGTGTGGCATAATTTAACGTAATGCAAATTCTTTGTTTGAATCTTTGATAAAGTGTGGCATAATTTAACATCAGGTAAATTCTTTGTTCTAGCAGCGCCCATGTTGAAAGAGTATTTAAACCATTATTTGCACAGCACCCCAGGATTGATCGCATTTCTGGGAGACATATTTTATCGCATATTTTGCGAACGACGCATTCGTCCGACACCATTTTGAACCTCCAGATTACCTGCTATGTTTTTGTATGTGTTTGTTTGCCGAAATGTAAAACGATGGCCCACAATGCAGCTGAATAACTTCACTTTTAAAAATTAACAAATGACTCGAATTAACATGAAATATTAACCTCACGTGATTTTGTTAGCTTTGCAATTTATTCACCTCATACAATTTTTCTCTATCTCACAATTTTAACTCCGGTAATTTTCTTGCTGTATAATTAAATTGAACGTAAATTTTTCATGCTCTGCAGTTTCTAACTTCACGTAATTTTTTATCTGCACAAGTTTTATTTCCTATCTTTTTTGTTTTTATAAATGTTTGGTAGTTTTTGTTTTGTAAGTATTTTGTTGATTAATGTTTCCATCATATAAATTGTCTTAATTTCAGATAAGAATCCTTTGCTGTTTAAAAATTTCATGAGCGTGTATGGCGACTTAAATGGTGTTTATTGCTCTTTTTGAAACTTTAACACTTGTTCAGTTGTCGTTTAATATCGGAGTTATAGAGATTGAACATTTAAATGGAACTGAGGTTAAATAACACAGAAACATGTGGCAGAAGCGGAGGGCGCGGTTCCTAGTCGAGCTGCACAAAAGACGCAGATTTGAATGGAAGTCAGGGGCGGTCGAGATTACGTGACGCTGTCGGCTTCTGTCCATAGCCGGAACCCAACCACGAGTTTGCGGCCGTAACGGCCTGCTCGTACGGCATGTTCGTAATGGAAAGGTGCTGTGCTTTCGATAGATAGAATCACCGTCGTGGGTAGGAGAACAGCCACAACCGGGAGCCCCAAACTCTGCACGTGCTACAACGCTCCCTATGGGTAATTCTGCTGTGCTATAGAAGGAAATTGAAATACGTCGATCCTCACACTCTTATAGCGCTTTGGTGCTGCTGCATAGTTTTTTATTAAAATTTTGTTCTCGTATTGACTGCCATAATTTTAAATTTTCTGCCACATGTTCCTAATAACTTGTGTATTTCCATCCAGTTACTTTAATTCAGATTTTTCTTTGTTTGATTAAATTTGTGATATTCAAATATTTGCATTGATTCAGAACGTTTATAATTTGATTTCATTCAAAGTTAAAGCAACGGGCACAACTTTGTCGCAGCTTTTTTTCTTTTTTTTTTTTTGTCAGTGGAGGAATAAGTAATTTTGTGTCCTCCATATATTTTGTGTCTGATTTAGCGGTACTTTTCCAACCTTGGGGTCCACCACTTGCATCTGAACGCATTCCGCAACAAAAAAAAAAAAAACAAACACAACGTAGGGTTCCATTTTGTCAGACGGCCAAATTGTTGAATTTTTGAATTTTCAATGGTCTGAGAGTTATGTACTGCGTTACTAAATTCAATACCATCTTTTTTAATTTTTTGCAGTTGTAAATATTCTCTGTATATTTGTTTTAGATGACTTAATAGTCACAAGAAATTTTGAATTCATGTCTTGGACATAATGTTTTTTGGAGTTTTAAAAATTCATCTTTTGTACTTTGGATTTTTTAGGAATGTGACCTGCAGTTTTCTCTTGAAGAACAAGTTTATTTTATGAAACTTACTGATATTATTTTTTTCAGATTTAAAGTTGATTTAGCATTGAATATTTTTTGACATTAACCGCCTTATCTGTCAAGTTTTCTCGACCTTTGGCCCCTAAAGTACGAAGAAATATGTCTCCCGTTTCCGTCTGTCTGTCCGTCTGTCTGTCTGTCCATCTGTCTGTCTGCCGTCCCGGATTTTTATTAAATATCCAAAAGTGCTGGGCCGATTGCTGTCAAATTTTGTATTTATTTCAGGAATATCATGTAGATGGTAAAATGCTAACCAACATTTGTCTAATCATCCCCACCAATAATGTGGTGATGTCATTTCAAAATTGATATAGGAAATGGGTTTTAAATTGTATATAGTCCTACACATGTGGTTTATGACTCCGTGTTGAGTTTTTACCCGAAATTTCTAGATTCTTTTTTTATTAGCATCATTACTAATTTCAATCTTTACATTCAATTAACTGTATCTTCCGCGTATTGCAGTATAACTTATAACAAAAACAAAATCCACTTTACATAAACGATATTGAATTTCGTACTTTTTGCTCAACATCGTGATATTAAATGTAAACTTATCTTGCGCCGGTGTTTACTCAGTGAGGAACATGGCGAGAGCTGTCCTAATAAACTAAATACGTGTAAATACACAAAAAACGACATCGATTTTCCCTCTAACCGAACGTCGTAACTACGTACCAGAGAACATTCGGAAGGTATTTCGAGCATCAAACAAACCACTCGAAGTCGTTTTTTTTGTTATATTGGTAACTAGTTTAATTGCTTCATTACATAAAACGTATAATAGTTAATACACATTTTACCGTTAATCTCACTATAACGCTCGATCAATTTTGAAAATCTTCAGGTTTCTCGTTTCCGTCTGTCTATCTATGGGTCACCTATCTATTAGAGATATCTATACTTATATAATAAAGCTGAAGCTTTTGTTTATTTGAACACGCATATCTCAGAAACTACTGGTTCAAATTTAAAAAATCTTTTTGTGTTGGATAGTCCATGTATCATATCTACATATAGGCTATATAATATCACGCTACGATCATTAGGAGCAAAGTAGCAATGAAAAATTCGGAAAAACGGGAAAATTATTCCTCCTTTGACAGCTTCCGTTGCTTACGCTGCTTAAACGGTTAAAGTTACGTAAAAATCATGTATGACGAAATTGTTCCCCTCTAAAAGTTCTAAAGAAAAGTCCGCGACAGCATATGTCTATCTTTTAAGGTCATGTCAGTATAACCTTTTTTATGGTAATGAAATTTGTTCTAAAATAATAATGCATTATGTATAAAATTCTCGCGTCACAGTGTTTGTAACCCAACTTCTCCGAAATGGGTTGACCAAGTTGTATGAAATTTTTTATTTATATTCGGTAGGTCTGACAATAAGTTGTAAACTATTTTTTAAACCCCTAAGTGATAAGGGTGGCCCACCCTAAAAAATGTCTATTTTTTGGACACAATTTTTTATTTTAATTTTTTTAAGATTTGGCATCAAAAAATACACATAACCCTAAATTTTCACCTTTCTACCACCAACCCCCATTTTTTAATCGTCTATAAAATAAAAATCAATTGCTGTTCCTGTTAGTCTCGCTAAGACTCAAAAACGGCTTGACCGATTTGAACATTTTTTTATATTACGGGGATGGTTTATAAATAAAAAAAATAAGGATAACTTAAAAGAACAGTTAAAAAATAAAAAAAGTCTAAAAATTTTGTATGGGAATCGCCACTTCGAATTAATTTCAATAGTTGGCGTTTCTGACGGACCTGTCGTCTAACTGACGTGTCATACAAAACTAATTCTTCCGTGCGATTGTGAAAAGTATATTGCATTTCAAATCGTTCTTTGTTTTTTCGTAAAAAAAAACGTCATTTATTTTAAGAAAAGTCTTGGTTAAAGTGAATTTAATTACACATTGCGAAAGTTTCTTATTCATTTTGATCTGCCATTCTTTTTACCTATATTCACTTTGTTGGTTTCGACAAAACCTCAAACTTGACCGTTATTCGAGGATTTAATTTGAAGTTTTCAATATTTTAAAATTCTCAAGACAAAATTTACAGATTTGATTGACTGTGAAAATGATTCTGTGTCGTTTTATGAAGTTCATTAAAATGCCGAGAAGACGACAAGCTCACATAGGTCCACGAAGTCAATCAAATGTGCGACGAACTACCTCAGGTGCAAACTGCAATGATTTATTTCATAGGTAATTCGGATATGGAAGTTGATCAGCGTTGTGCTCATAATCAACATACTCAAACATTGAAGCGAGAAATTGGGTGGTATGAATAAAATTGAGTAGATACTAATATTCGAAGTACGAAGTACCTACTTCAGTATTACTCTTATATACCTGAGCATCTACTCTATGTACTGAGTACCTACTTGGAAACATTGTATCTCCCCGGACACAAACTGAACATCTACGCGTTTTGTGAGCATTTAATCTAGAAATGAGCATCGGCGTGGCAAATAACTGAGCTGTCTGTAAAGCAACTTAGAAAACCAGTAGGATCGTTGTAAGAGTGAATTTTAACTAAACATGGTGACTTTCGTGAACGTGGAACGTCGTCAAAAGGTGCATTCAGTTTGAAAAACACATTAGGAGCAGGAATATCGAAAACTTTTCATTTTATTTATGCATAAATTGTGCAGTGCGTTTTTTCTAACACTGGCCATAGAGATTCGCATCTCAAGGTGTCTATCCCATACTAACTTATATTTTGATGACTCGATTTTTGCCTTGATGGTTGAACACTGTCACTGTTGTCCTTTTTTGTTGTATCGAGATGCTACTTGAGCATCAACTGTTACATACTGAAGTATTAGTATCATCTAGAAAAACTAGAAATATTTTGATTTGATATTGGAGTAGATACTTCGTATTTCGAGTATGAGCATCTACTGAGTTTTATTTATATCAACCATTGTCAAAAAATTGATCGAACGTTGTTTCGACAGAACTTCCTTAGCACCAAAAGTATAATGAAACCTATTCAGCATTTTCGAGTTGAGTCTGTTCTTCACACAATTTTGTGATGACCTAATCAACATTTACTATCAACACGTATACCACCTTGGATTGGTGCAGTGTAATACTAAAAATAACTGTATTATATTCCCAAAATTATCTGCGAAAATCGAGTGAGCCATTCCATCAATTTTTTGGGGGGAATAAATAAATATTCTTAACAATTTACCATGCTTACAATAACTTTAAAACGTCTGCAAGATCTCAAAGTATTCATTTTTGCAACTCTTGAGTTATTCACTAAAATAAATTGATTGATCCATATATTTTTTTGAGTCACTGTAAAAGCAAATCTAAAAAATATGAATGCAATGATAAATTACGAAAATATACTGATGATGTTTTCCACATTTTAGATAGGATTTATTCGGCAAAATCTTGAGATGACGTCTTCAAGTTTTTGGGTTTGATAAACAGATATATTTTGATTGAAAACTTACCATGTCAAACAGTAACTTCAAAACGTCTGGAATATTTCAAAATTCAGTTTTGCAATTCTTGATTCAATCAATAAAATAAATTGACTCAGTGATTAATTTTTTTGAGACACCCCCTATAAGCAAAACTAAAAAATATGAATGGAATGATAAATCACAAGTATAGTCTCATCCTATTTTGGACATTTTAGATAGGATTCATTTGGCAAAATTTTGGGCTGACGTCATCAATTTTTTGGAGGGGATAAGTAAATATATTTTGAATAAAAATTTATTATACTTATGATATGTTTAAAACATCTGCAAGATTTCAAAGCATTCGATTTTGCAGATTCAAAATTAAATTGTAGGTGAAACGAAGTTCACGGGGTCAGCTAGTTTTTAATAAAACCGGACACTGTCCCCCAATTTAAAAAATAATGCTTTAAACTGCGCCGTGAACTCATTAATCAAACTAATGCCGAAAATAAATAAAACCAACAAGCTTTCCGAACTCCCCAAGTAATTACAATTTTAATGATGATCATGACACAATTAAATATCAACTGTTTGCGAAATAAATATTTGAGAGAAATTTTCCTCCCCAACGCGAACACGGCGTGAAAAACCAGCATCATTTACGCCAAATAAATTAGTCAGTTTAAAAATTCTCATCGTAAATACTCGTGATAATGGCATTAAATTGCTTCTTTGTGACGGGAGAAACCACCGTTTCTATAGCAACAATAAGCAGAAGGATTATGGGCGAGAGTCTGCTCGGATTTAACCACAGATGCCAGCTTTGATGAGGATGGTCGAAAGTATAACCTGATTACTCTGATCTGGTGACTTTTTTTTAATTTTGCTTTAGAATAGTTAGTCACATACAGTCAACTTACATTATCTAGCTCCTTCTCCAAATCGCACACTGGCAGTGAAGGCATCACCACACTACTAACCACCCCATCGGCATTCGTCACATTAAACACCGTCCCTTCAGGGGGCAGCTGCCCCTCATCCAATCCACCCCCAAACAGCCCAGCGATGGTGCTATTCCTCGAACTCAAACACTTCTCATAGACCATCGTCGCTTTGAACCCAATTATCGAAAAAACCACGATTCCTGCAAACATCGACGTAAAACAGTTCGTCAGAGACACCATCACGGCATCTCTATAACAATTATTATTAACGGGGTTATACGAAGAAAATGCAATAAGGCCTCCGAATGCAAGTCCCAACGAGAAGAAGATCTGCGTCCCAGCCTCCAGCCACACGACGGGGTCCAAAATGGTGTGCCAGGTTGGGGTGAACAAGTGCCTCAGGCCGTCGGAAGCACCCTTAAGGGTGATCCCGCGGAAGAAGAAGATGATGAGGACGATGTAGGGGAAGGTGGCTGTGACGTAGACGACTTTCCCGGAAGAAGCGATTCCTTTTATCATGCACATGTAGACGAGAATCCAGGCGATGACGAGGGAGAGCGCGATTTTCCAGTTGAAAGCTTCGGGTGCGTTGATGTCGGAGGAGATCATGAGGGTGGTGCGGTACCAGAAGTACTGGGTGGGGCTGCTGACGACGCATTCGGGTTCGGAGGTGTAGGAGCCGTTGGGGAAGTAGACCTTGGGGCATTCGGCCCACGGGAGCTGCGACTGGAAACTCTGGACAAAGTAGAAGAGGCACCAGGCGATGATGGTGTTGTAGTAGAGGGCTACGTTAAAGGAGACCACGGCGCTGCTGATACCAATACCTGTTGGAGAAAGAAAAACTAATAATCAAAGCGATATTGTGTCAAATTTGCACCCCAACGCTAACATATCGTCTCGGACAGAAATTTTCCGACCCCGTTAAATTAATTCCCGCCTCTGCCCACACATCACGGCCCGGATATTAATTTTATCGCTGTTTTTCTCCACTCACCCGAAAGAAACGGCGACACTTGATTCCACACCCCGATGGCCCCTTTCCTCAACCTCTGCCCGATCGCCAGCTCGAGATAAAAAATCGGGATCCCTTCAATGGCCAGCATCACGAAGTAGGGGATCAAAAACGCCCCACCTCCGTTTTTCTGGGCCAGATAAGGGAATCTCCACACGTTGCCTAAGCCCACGGCGTAACCCACAGTGGCCAAGAGGAAAGTCAGCTTGCTGTCCCAGGATTCGCGCTCGTCTTCGCCGCACTCTGGCCGAAAAATGGGTTTGCCATCCTTTGAGATAAATGTATTATAATTGCAAACAAAAACAAATAAAGTGTAAGTGTAAAATTCTTTTGCCAACTTTTAAGCTTTAGGGTCAACAATCGACGGAAAACTTTTAGGAAACTTCACACCTACGTTCAGCGACAATGGAAGGCGTTTTCAGTTCTTTTCCTTAAAGAGACACTTCAGTGATTGTTGGAATTTCAACAGGTAAGTTTTTGTTAACACCTTAACCGGAAGCGTTTCAGAGGGTAAACACAAAGATCCAGGCAAAGCGTTGAAGAACAGAGTCATTAAACTCCCACGACAAGGATGCTCTGAATGGCTTACGCTCGTGTACATTGTAGTTAAAGATATACTTTCTTTCAGTTGTCATCTTGACAATTATAATGGCAACTATTCTGCTGGAATAATTGTTGAACTTGAAGCTTGAAAATTAAAAAAAAAATGTGCCGCCACTACTCGATAAAGACAAATTTCTGTTCTAAACCTAGAGGAAGTTGGGATAGCATAAACCTACTTACGTTTTAAGATACGATTAAATATGAGTTTTGGAAGTTAATGAAAAATGGTCCCACATAATCTTCGATATGTGGCTGATATTATCAAAAAGAAGTTGTAAATTGACACAATAGTTACCAAAAAAAAACTTTTAACGGTCTTCTTTTTCCGTCGGTCTGTGATCTGTTGACGATTCTATTAAAAAGAATAGGGTATCCGAACCTACTAAACTGATTGATGTGAAGTTTTGATGAATTTTAAAAATACCGTTTTGATGGTAAATGAAAATTTGTCTGATCATTCCCACCAAAAATTTTTAACTTTTAGTAAGCAAATCCTATTTACAACATACAAAATATATACAAGGTTGAGTCACTAAAATTTAAGTGCGCGGTCATCGATATCTGATTAATTATTATTAGCAGACTTCGGTATCGCGAAAGTGATGCTCATTGCCGTCCGATCGCCAATTCTTAATAACAATTACTACTTTTTCTAGGTTTTCCTCAATTATACGAGTTTTCCTAGATGTTAAAATGTTTTAGAAATTAAAAGTAACTGTTCAACATGTCAATATTTGTGATGATCTTGATCAGATAAACCCTAAATTGCATCAAACGTCACTGAGGTTGAGACTGCACAGTCGACCAGCCAAATTTATCGCTTGACGTCACGCCATCGTTTTTAATATTTGTCTGATTGATTCCCCATCACTCCGGCTTTGCCTAACTCTGATTACTAAAGATAGAAAAAAGCCAGAGACCAAAATTATACAGTTCTTTGAGTTACATAAATTAGTACATTGAAGTTATTTTCGCTATACAGAGTAATAAGTTAATAATATGTTGTTAACCACTGTTAGGAATTAACTATGTTCTGTTTTGATTTTTCTTTTCCATTTATTATTATTTTTTTTTTGTAAATTGGAAGTTTCAGTTAATAAATTAAACATTAAACATTAAACATATTCTATTTACGAGGCATAATAGCACAGAACTTAAGTTTAATCAAATAGAACACTTCTATATGTATTTTTATACATTCTCATTAGCTTTTTCTCAAGCTTTAAACGATGGTTTATTTTGATTCCGATGCAACGTTGCCGCATTATTCCAATTTTCTTGTATTATGGTGTATTAACGCACTCCAACGTTTAACTTTGTGTATAACGTTTTTGGCAAAAAAATTCAAAATTGTGATACAAAATTTGACAGTCGAAATTTTGCACAATCGTTGATCCCTTCCAAAACTTGATGACGTCACTCAAACTTTTGTTAAATAGTTATTGCTTAAATTTATGATCTTATAGTGTATCCAAAGCATTCGTATTCTGACAAGGGTCAATGTAAAATTTGAAAAAGTAAATTTTACAATTTCTCTTAAATTCTAAGAAACGAATTTTGAAATTGTGGTAGGACATAAATATTCATCTAGTGGTTACAGAACAGTGATTAAAATTTAATGACGTCATCGCAAAGATTAATTAAATAAACGTTTATTAAAAAATGTACTTCGAAATGCAACTTTTGTGTTCTTTAGTAATACACTTTTACTCATTAGAAATGTTGCTTAAATTAATCCTTTTGTAAATATTATATATTATTTAATATAATACTACTAATAAAAAAATGGTCAAAAACAGAATTATTTTTTTATAATAATAAATTAAAATAAAGATTATGTGTGTATTATCAGTTCAAAAATTAAAAAACCACTTAAGCGGCAACACTCAACCAAAATGTCCTGTCAAAAAAATTGAGGTTAGGATGATCATGGTTTCCATTCAAAACTATTCAAAATTTGAAGTTTTTGTACTACCAACTTGCCAGTGTAAAAATAATAATAATGCTAATATAAAAAAAAGCTGGATATCTAAGACAAGAATAAAGTCGGATTCATGAACTGCAAGCACAGAAGTATGTTATTTTATGAAGTTTAAATAACTTTTACTGTGCATAATTTTGAGACAACGTTATCAAATTATTAGTGGAAATGACAACACAAATTTTGGTTCACGTTTTTCCATCTACATGAACATGATATTCCTAAGATATACGTAAAACTTTGCAACAATCAGTCCAGTAGTTTTAGAGATTATCTCTCTAATAAAACAGCCGGAAGATCAGATAGAGGACAACTAGGCGAAAAGGGTGGACCTATTTTTTCATTTCTAGGGGTTATGAAACATCGAGAAAACGTGAAAGTAGCCGTTCGTCAGATGAATTGTCGTTTATATGGTAAACCGCTTATCATAATTCATGTATTTATCCTTTTCAAAAATTTATGACATCAGGTCAAAATCTTATTAAGTATTTATGGCATTACGAAATTTCATTAAAATGATAGAAAACGTTTTTAGAATGGAAATAGAAACGTTTTATCTCATTTTTATGAAATTTCGGAAACACAACACAATTACCATTAGGGTTAAACAATATTGTCTCTATTAAAAATTGATGACGATATGAAAAAATGCTATTGCTCCTGAAGCTTGTAATTTAATAATCCATTCCACTATGGTGTCCCTATTTGAAAATTTAAATTGAAAAATAAAAGAAAATTATTCAATAACGTAGGCAACCATGCATGTTTGATGGAATTTCACCCCGTATTGGTAGCTTTTAAAAAGTCTCTTGAACTCATTTCTGGTTTTGGCGATGTGAGTGTAAACACATGTTAAAATTGGTACTAGAGTTTTGTAGTAATTTCACAAAAGAGCACTTGTTTAAACAAAATGAAATCGCATTCGACGCCACTGTCCCCCTCAACGAGTGTAATTAGTGTAAGACCAACTAATCAAAAATGTTGTGTTGCTACAAAACCTGGCATCTAAAGTGTATTGATTTCAATGGTGATTTATATTTAGGTGCCAAAATGACACTAAATCATAACCAAAGAAACAACTGACAGCGTTATAAATTATTCACCAAACAGAATTTCCAAGGCCGGTTTTAAAACTCGTACGAACTACCTATAAATCCCTATTTTCGTTTACATGGCAGAGTGGTGGAGCGAGGAATCACTAATAAAGATCAATAAACACCAGACATCAGATCAGAATAGTTATCAGTCACATGCACTGCTCTAACAGTACGTTAATAACTAAACCATGATTGTTGAACGTAAGTGTCCTGAAGAAGCACAAAAATTAAACGAAACTAGTCGACCAATTATTGTATTTCTATTATATATTATGTATATTAGTTTCACCCAAAGCAGTACACAGACTAAAATTAAAATAGAAAATTAAAGTCTAAATAATTCATATTCTCTCAGGTCTATAGAACTTCATTTCTGATTTAAATCGATGAACCAGTTGAATTCCATGAAATACCCTGTTTTCCACAATCGATTTGATTTATGTAAAGGCCGCTCCGGACGTGATAAAAACTCTCGGTCACCATTCAACCATGATAAATTATTTTTCAGCAATTTTAACGTTATCTTATGTTTCCTAAAAGAGCAAATCGGCGTTATCTTTACAACTGACTTTATTTCTCTGCTTGATTACATGATGGGCGCTCATTTATTACGTGGTATTATATTTTACACACCATTTTAAAACTGAAAAAGAAGTCGTAGAAGTGGACCTTACCACGATCTGAGACCCCCTCTTGCTACTACACCCGGATTTTATCCTTGCGCTGGGGCTGGAGTCCTCGAAGGCAGCGTTGGTGGCACCATAACTACCCGTATTCCCATTTTCCACGACCAGACGTCCACGCATTTCTTTGAGTTCCAGACGGTCCAAAGATCGTTGAGGGTTGAGGTCCCGAGAACTTTGTCGCCGGACCAGATGGGCCGTGTTCGCCATTGTTGGGGTCTAATGGGCTACTTCTAAATATTATTGTCTGTGAAGTTTGGCATCTTGAACTGAAAGGAAACACGTCTGCTGTAAATTTCAGTCTTTTATAAACTTTAAATGTTTCAAGTTTAGGTAATAAAAGTTTTTCTTTTCACGGTATCGTTTTATTTCGCTTCTTGAGACTTTGTAAGGTTCTGTCCGAAACGATATAAATGCATGACGTCATGCAAATACCGGAAGTTTGTCGGTTCGTGACTTTGTGTATTAGTTTTCTACCTGTAGAACAACTTAAGAACCAATATTGCATTTTCAATAAAATTAGTTTTGTTAGACACCGGCACGTGCACTTATCTCTTCGGGTTACACCTCCAGAGCTTAATGCTCTTTTTTACTTAAAACTCCCTCCGGAAACCCTTCTAACCCCCTATTTACAAAGATCCGAAATTTCTCTAAACCCATTTTATCCAGTAAAATACTCTCCCTCATGTTTTTCTATTTTCTTATCCCTCTCCGACAATCACGCCTCAGGCTTTTCTTTGTGAAATTCCCTGAAATACGACTACGCAAACGACACAACGAAGAAAAACACAGACATCACAGTTACATCATTCGACAAGAATCACGTCGAGATTCGGACGTGATAGGGTGCAACTGAAAAAACATTCATTCCGGGTAATTACCACGTAATACGAAAGAACGCCGGGAAATCTTGTATTTTATTAAAGAAAGTTAGTGGATGCTTTAAGAAAGGCAGGAAAAGCGACGAATTGATTGCACATCCCCTGGGATATCAAAAGGACGTGACTGGAATAATTTCAAAGAGAGTACGAAGTAAGCGAGTGAGTCTGTAAAAAAATTTATTTAGTTTTTCGTTTATTTGCTGTTCTTGCAAATACGGACGGAGACGGGAAATTTTATTGATACACAGATGATGGGAATCCGGAAAACTGCTCAGTGATGGCGAATGTTTTGAATCTCAAAGTGAATAAGTGTGTCAGTATGTTTTATTTTAAAGAGTAAATTGAAAACTAATTATTAATGGCGCGTCAAATTTATCGACATTCATAGACTGGCAGCCCTAACGATAAATATCAAAGTAAAATGCGTGTTCAGCATATAAAACGATTCGAATGGAATTTGAATGGACCAAACTGAATCTCTGTGACTGCAAAATATGTATGTGATTTAATACATTTAAATTATTTGTTTGAGCACAAAAACAATACAGTTAAATACGCAAAGAAAGAATGTGAATTGTTCATATACAGAAAAAATTAAAGACGGTCGCCGGTAAACAAAGAGAGAACAAAATTTTGCTTGTTTTTGTTATTTTGGCTAGATATGAAAATATTTTTAAAGAAAAGCTCACTTTCTTCGAAAGTATATCATCAAGTACAAATTTCTTAATAATTCCTCATAAATTCTTCCAAAATACATTCTTACATGTCACAAGTTCATTTATTAAGAACAATTGAAGTATTTTTTTTTTATTTTTTAAGTTCCACCACTTTAGGAAAAAATTTGAAAAACTAAGTCAATCTCAAAACGGATCACTGCTATCCTAAATTTTGTCAATAACATGAATCTGTGTTTGCTATTGTCGCATTCTTTCAAATAATTGAGAGAAATGTGTTCATATACAATAATTTTAATTTATTGAAACCAAAAGTACATCATTTATCTTGGTTCAAAATTTTCCTGGTTTTGTAATTTTGAATAAATATCAAAATATTTTTAAAGAAAGGCTCACTTTCCTCTAAAGTATATCAGTTCATGTACAAATTTCTTAATAATTCTTCATAAATTCGTTGAAAACACATCCTTCCGCGCGCAAGTTTATTAGGAATTCTAGAAGTACTCTCATTTTATTATTTAACATCCACCACACTTTCACAATGACAAATCGATCTGAGAAACGGTGACTGTAATCGTAACTTTTCTCCAGATCATCAATATGTGCTTGGTATCCATGCATTCCTTCAAATAATTGGGAGAAATGTGTTCATATACAATAATTGAAATTTGTTGAAACCGAAAAGATATCATTTTTCTTAATTCAAAATTTACCTTGTTTTGTTATTTTGGTCAGATATCAAAATCTTTTTGAGTAACCTTCACTTTCGTCGAAAATATATCATTTCATGTATAAATTTCTTAATAGTTCGTCATAAATTCTTCCCAAATACATTCATACACATTACAGGTATATTAAAAACAATAGAAATATCTTTTTTTAAGTTTTTAACTCCCAGCACGTTGGCAAAAATTTGAAATACTTGTGGCGACACCACAATAAGCTGTAGTAAGCGAAGAAAGATAAGTGGCCTTGTGGTCTAGTGGTACGGTTTCCTGCCCGGCAAGCAGGAGGCATGTGGGGTTCGATTCCCACCGAGGCTGCAACATTTTTCTTCGCTTACCTACATACCAAATCGATTACAAAAAGGATCTCTGCCATCCTAAATTTTTTCAATATCTTGAATCTGTGTTTGCTATCGACGCATTCTTTCAATTAATTGAGAGAAATGTGTTCGTATTCAATAAATTAAATTTATTGAAACCAAAAGGACATCATTTATGTTGGTGCAAAATTTTTCCTGTTTTTGGCATTTTGGATAGATATCAAAATATTTTTAAAGAAACGACCACTTTCCTTTAAAGTATATCAGTTCATGTACAAATCTCTTAATAGTTCTTCATAAATTCGTTGAAAACACATCCTTCCACGCGCAAGTTTATTAGGAATTCTAGAAGTACTCTTATTTTATTATTTAACATCCACCACACATTCAAAATGACAAATCGATCTGAGAAACGGTGACTGTGATCATAAATTTTCTCCAGATCATCAATAAGTGCTTGGAATTCTTGAATTCCTTCAAATAATTGGGAGAAATGTGTTCATATACAAAAATTGAAATTTGTTGAAACCGAAAAGATATCATTTTTCTTAATTCAAAATTTAGCTTGTTTTGTTATTTTGGTCAGATATCAAAATCTTTTTGAGTAACCTACACATTCGTCAAAAATATATCAATTCATGTATAATTTTCGTAATAGTTCGTCTTAAATTCTTCCCAAATACATTCATACACATAACAAGTATATTAAAAACAATAGAAGTATCTTTTTTAAGTTTTTAACTCCCACCACTGGCAAAAGTTTGAAATTCTTGTAGCGACACAATAATAAGTTGTAGTAAGCGAAGAAAGAAAAGTGACCTTGTGGTCTAGTGGTCAGGATACCTACCCGGCAACAACATTTTTCTCCGCTTACCTACATACCAAATCGATTTCAAAAAGGATGTTTGCCATCCTAAATTTTTTCAATATCATGAATCTGTGTTTGCTACCGACGCAATCTTTCAATTAATTGAAAGAAATGTGTTCATGTACAATATTATTTTTTGCCTTTTTTCTTAACAGGTCTACGTAGTCTTCTTTTTACAACAAGAAACTTAAAACGTGTTTGAATGGTAAATTTTTGTAAACAAATATGGACTTTGCAATTAAGCTCCACCCCTCAATCTGATAACAAATGAAAAATTCATCACAATTGAGAGAAGCGCGGGTGGGAGGGGCTTAATCATTGGCTTCTATTTTTAACGTATATAGTTTTCTTTCAACTACACAATACTTAAAACATAATTCTATTCCCAAATTCACCATTTGATATTTTCAACACTTTATTCTCGAAGGAAGCCTGTGTATATTACGAAAATAAAATCAATGGATAAGCCCCACCCACCCACCCCTTCTCAAATGAGATTCATTTTTTTATTCATCGTGAGACGGTGAGTAGAGCTTAAATACAGAGTTCATATTTCTCTCCAGGAAATAACCATTGAAATATGTTTTAAGTATCCTGTTGTTGGAAGAAAACTGCACATGCTACGAAAAATAAACCAAAAATGAAGCCCCACCCACTTGCGCCAATCTGAATTGTCTCGCATTTTTCATTCGTTGTGAAATCGAGGAGCAGAGCTTAATATTGTATAATCTATATTTCTCTACAGAAATTTAACTTTTTAAACATGGTTTAAGTTTCTTGTGTGGTAAGATGAAAACGCATATTAAGAAAAATAAGGCAAAATATAAGCCCCACACACCCGCCCCTTCCTCAACTGTGATAATGTTTTTTATTCGTCGTCAGCTGGGGGCGGTGCTTCATTGCAAAATCTCTATTCCTTTACATGATTATACCATGTGAAACGTTACCGGGGTTCCCACATCCACCAATTTACGCTACAATACAGTAGTTTTTTTTATGTTCAGCCTTTTTTCCTTAATGTACGTAGTCTTTTTTACAACAAAATTCTTCAAATATATTTAAAATTGTAAATTTTTGTACACAAATACGGATTTTGCAATTAAACTCCGCCCCTCGATCTGACAACAAATGAAAAATTCACCACAATTGATATTGGGGTGGGTGGGTGGGGCTTTATCATGTCCTTCTTTTTGTTGATATATGTAGTTTTCTTTCAACACCAGGACGCTTAAAACCTTTTCAGTTTTAAAATTCTCATAGCAAAATTTTAAAATTGTAATATAAACCCTTCACAACAAATATTTTTTATTTATTTAGTATTTATTTAGATCTTTTTTTCACATTTGGTGGTAAACATTATGGATTAAAAGAGTTGTATCTCTAAAAGGATCTTCTACATTTTGAAAATATTTTGTGTTCTAGCACTTTCCGTTAAACTACTTATTTAAAATAAAAAAAAATCTCCTAGACTAGAAACAGTACTCTTGAAGAAAATTAAGCAATCAAGCTCCGCCTCCCGACGCACGACGAATAAAAAAATCGTCACATTGGAGGTGGGAGCATGTGGATCAGATTATATTTTGCCTTTTTTCTTAATAGGTATACGTAGTCTTCTTTTTACAACAAGAACCTTAAAACATGTTTGAATGGTAAATTTTTGTAAACAAATATGGACTTAAGCTCCACCCCTCAATCGGATGGGTGGATGGGCGGGGCTAGTATTTGCTATGTACCTGACTGTGACTGTGTTAATAACCACGAAATTAAATTTATTGAAACCAAAAGGACATTATTTATCTTG